ATGAGGGATGACGTTTTTTAGTAACAAATCGTCTGGGATATCAAGAGAATGTTACCCATTAATACGAACACAATACGGAAAAATATTGCTTTATTCGGCTACAGAAGCCTGAAACGAGTCAAATATAATCTATGTTTGCAAAACTGAGCGATTATAACACCTCTATAGGCGTTAACGCGATAACCCATACACTGCGCGAAAACAGATAGCTATAGCGTTTAACCCCACGTATTATAGAGATACACTGTCACTCAACAATGCTGTCAGTGAGCTTGATCGCGATTTGTTTTGATCTACGCAGTTAAATGAGTTGACGGTTGAGGGTGAAAAGCTGGTTTTCAATTGGCTTGACGAGCTTCTTTAATCCCCTACATTAATCTCTCACCAGAATCAAATGATGCTGGTTCCATTCAGTGAGAGATGTCACGGTGGGTAGGAAAATCTTTTGGAACCTGCTAAATCCATTGTGTGCTATCACTCTGAAATAGAAGACAGAAGAACAGTGTAAACTGGACAATGGAAACAGCCTATTCTCAGCGAAAAGGTAGTAGTACTAATAGTGTGATAGAACAAACAGCTCGCTGTTGTGGAAGCAGTGGGTGTTAAGACTGATATAACTTTGTGGTATCCAAGTGCACGAAAAAATTCTTGAGCGGTGAAGATGATTAAATAAACACTGACATGTTTTAAATGAATCAGCCATTTGGAGCGCAGTGAAGGTGATAGTTTCAGGCAGAAGTTCAATTCCCGGCTCATATTCAAATGGGGGAAATAGTTGTTAGCACTTGATGTAGGTACTGTTGAATAATACTATGAATTATGTGATAGAAGGAAAGTGATAGTGCCCAAGAGAGATGAACTCTGAACTGATTGGCCCATTTTACCACTCCGCGTATCTTTATAAAGTGAAGACTTGATGATGCTGAGGACTGACATTGGAAGAATAGGAGCTGCATAGGTCATTACCCCTGGTTATTTTGGATGGTTGTAAAGTGACTTACACTTGTGTGTCTGTCATGCGCAGTGGTGGTCGCCTGATAATGAGCAAGCCTGGATAACTTCTGAGTCAGCTTCTGTGGTTGCTGTTGAAAATGAAATAAAGACACGGTGTAAGAGACATCAAGAAGTACTTGACCCGTGATTTAATTTCGTTTAACTTACATACTGCGCTTTGGGATGATGGACAGGAGATGTTTTGGGTTGTTTTTAAGTTGCAACATCAGCCGATCAGTTGCTAGAGCATGAGTTGATGACATTGCCCAATATGTATAGGAATGTAAAATTAGACTAAGTGAAAATATGCACAATAATATTACGAAGAAAGCGAAATATACGGACGTTAACTTATTGTTTCGCCGTAAGTTGTTAATGCTCTGCCTTGCAGTCCTCTCATCACATAGAATGTGTCAAAATTGTCACAGAGTTCTTATATTTGGTCGTCTGAGCATATTTTCCCTTATAGTTGCTTCTAGTTGTATCTACTGAAATACAAGCAAAGTGTTGTGCATTTGGTATTTCAGATTTAGTTTACGGTAATCGTCACAAAACCCTACTTAAACCAGTTTATGAATATCATTCGTAAGGAACTAGAATGAATATCTCTAACTGTCAAGAAGCAGACAACTCATGAAAACGCAAGTACTTTCAGCACACTGGATAGCAAATTAGCTTGACTGACTCCAGTCAAAAACACAAAGCAGTGTGTGGTTTCCACGAGTCACAGTAGTGATAGCTTCTTTCTAGACAAAATTATGCGCAGCGTAAAAATATCAGCCAAGATTTATGCTTTATACTTTACGAAATTCTTCTTCGTCTCCAAGATCTGTATATAAGTAAGTTGAATGTCAATTAAAATCCATTTCACGATCCAGTGACACAATTTGATGAATAAAATAATCAAGAAAAATTAAATTTGATGCCATATTTTGGATGGAAAATCATGTATCCCAATTATCCAACCAGCTCAGTAGTGGTTATACTCTTGAAAACAAGGGGTTTAACAACCCACACTTTCTCCCATAGACGTCAGCAGAATCAGGCTTCGTTCACACGTGCCTGGAAATCTGCCAACCTAGTGGCTGTTCAGGTCAAATGAAACCCCCAAATACGAGGGTTTTCGTGCGCGACTATAAAAGTTATATAATCTCATTGATTTCTCCATTGGTACGGTTTCCACCAACGACATGACCAAATCCCTCGCCATGCACCATCTACTTGTCAAAAGTATTACCTGAATGATCGTCATGATCCGCATCCGCTCGACAATGAAAACCAGATGGCCTACCGGAAAGAATAAGCAACAAAGAACTCTAACATCGAATCAGTCAAGTACCTATTGCCAAACAAGTACGTGAAAAGAAATCGAAGTGGATCTGGTATACTCTGTGGAGACCCTGAAGCGACACCACATCACGAAGTCATCGACTTACGAGTAACTAGTCTAGTATATGATGTTGACATGGCTGCTATATGAAGAGAACACAAAAGATCGCATACAGCCACCGAGTTGACTGATAGTGATTGTTGAGAACTGGGTGCAGTGAAGCTACTCAGCTGAGGCCTATTTCTTTGCTCAGAACCCAAATAGTGAATAATAATAGTATATTGGAGTGAAACAGATAAACCAGAAAGGGTCTTCGATTGTGGCTGTCGCACTAAAACTCAAATCTTTTTGAAAAATTTTATCTGTTCAAAACTGTAACTATGATTCCAACTATGTATCTTTAGTGAACAGTATTGCCGTATTATTGACAACTTTAAAATGAGGCAGCATATCAGCCGTCCGAGAAACCTGTTTAAACCTATGTCCGGTCGAGTCTAAACATCTTCATGAGCACTGACGGAAAATACTTACATAGCCTCTTAATCATATTACCTTTTTCAGCCTGATAATGAAAATTGGAAGGTTGCCTCAATCGGCCTAGTTTTAAATTTACCAAAAAGCTGCTAGTATATATTTATCACTGCAGTTTTCAAGTTTCAAGTAGTGCGTCGGTGGCACAGCAGTTAGGATTCTCACCAACCATGCGAATGGTCCGGGGCTCGATTCCCTGGCGACGCGCACCTGATATTAATTGGTCGGCCTGCAAAATTTGGGCTACCGATATCACATGTTGAAAATTCTATACTTGTGCCGAAAATACTATGTGGTTTCAAGCTTATAAAAAATTCAAGCTATAGTCAAAAAAGTTTCTAATTAAAAAATTAGTGGCAAGGCTGAAAGTCATTGCACTGGTATCATGCTGCCTATTTGAACTCATGGTGAGAAACAATTGGCTAAATCTAAGTGGTCACGGACTGTTCAGCGTTATCGCCTTGTAGATGCAGCAAGGCTTTCAATGAAATGGTAAAAGATATCTAGCTGGATCGTTTCAAAAGAAGCATATTAGCATTTTGTCTTAAGAGAACGCCTTCATTGAGAGCACTTCATTTCGCCGAGTTCCAAGAAAAGTCAGCGTCCTTATTGTATTCTTTGCAGCAACGCTAAGAATAGTGTTCTCCAGTCGCCCACTAATCTGCAGAAGCCTCAAGGACAAGATCCCGCATCTGGCCACTTCTATGTGCATATACCAGTTCACCTGCTGCTGTGGAGCCAGGTACATCGGTCGTTCGACGCGCATCCTGTCCAAGAGGATTCAAGAACACTATCCAGCATGGTTGCGAAAAGGCAATACTGGTGCAATAAGGAGTGCGATAATTGAACACCTGGTCAGCACTGATCATTGCGTTTCAACGAACGCCTCCTTCAAAGTAATCTACCGAGTCAAGAACAACATGTCAAGGGCAATACGGTTTCGTCTCCTTTGTATCGCTGAAGCTCTAGCCATTCACATGGAAAAACCGGAGCTGTGCATACAAAAGAAGATTACTCAACCACTTCTACTCTCATGGTAACAATGTTTTGATTTTTTGAGTTTTTATTTTATTTTATTTTGATAACTTAATTTTGTTTCTTTGCCTGTTCCTTAGTTGCTTATAATTCTTGTATTCACTTAGATCTCTTACACAGTTTCGTATTATCTACTTTGTTTCTATGTGCATCCTGAGTAAAACTCACTATTATTATTACAACTGTTTCTGACAACTCATCACCCTTGTTACTACCCTAGTTTCACTAAGACTTAATTTTCTTGACCTGTATTACCAACCTTCACTTGTTTAGTTAAAATTAACCTTAACCAATTGTAACTTTGTTTGACAAACTTAATGTACACATACATACAAAACAATGCATATATATTTGCGATTGTACAGCTAAGAAGATGAATTCGCCGAAAAGAGACTCTTCGCTGATCTACGTGTTTTGTTTTCATTAATGCCTGGATGGGGATTATCCATGAATCTTATTGTATTACTTGTGGATGATGCGAATTCATGACAGATATTCATAAGACCACAGACGAATGTGTATTGCACGACAGGACGTGTGGATTGATAAGTGAGTTCATGTGACAGTGCTCTGTAGCAAGCGTTAAGTAAGATATATTGTCCATTATAGTTGTCAGTAGTTAGTTATCAATATGTTGAAGGGCATATAATTGATTGTAGTATAAAAGTACATGATATATACACACTGCAAGCATTGCTAGTTGATCTTTGTGGAGAGACTTAGAATACATGCCCAAAGTTGCGCCTAATAATAATAATAATAACCACTTTATTCCGCCTGACATGTCAACCTTAGAATTGTGTCCGTGTTCCCGAATTGTGCTCATGGACGAAAAATACTGCACTTGATGTGGGTTTGGTACACTGATTTAAAATTTTTGACGTATCCGTGAGAGACTTTAATGCATTTTATATGATTCTTCAGCTAAAGGTGTCAAAGTTACACATGAAAGCTTCATTGAAAGTTTAAGATAATTCATAGACATTATGGTAGCAAAAATCTTTTAGAATCGATCTTTCAAAAAATATTAGGAATACGGTTCAGATAATGGTAGAAATACGGTTTATAAAACATGTGCTAGCTATTTTTCTTTGTTCAATTTTAGGGTTGGATAATGGAGTTGTTTAAATATGAAGTAACAGCTGATTTTGGGATAACCAATCAAAGTACATGTGCTCTTTTCGCAATTTGGGTTTATGCATCTAGTAACATTAGTGCTACAGATGCAAACCCGAATAGCAGAAAAATGTTCAACTATTAGCTCTCCACTAAAGTTAAGTCCTCACAATTATACTTGAAATGTCTTGTGAACATGTAAATAAATTCTTCACTCAGAAGACAAATGAGATAGCATACAAGAATATCATTGATTACCTTACATTTCCAAAGTCTCAGAGGGGTTTTGCTCATAAGGTAAGCTGGTGTGTTGGCTTCTGACTTCATGATTCTTGTGACATATAGTTTTTGTCCAAATCACTTCAGTTTTGGAACCTCTTTATGTTCATTGCCTGGAATACTGTGTTATCAAGGCCATTTGTTCTAAGTGTAAAGATATTAGGATTAAACCCAATCGGTCTTCACTGTCTAGAATAGTAGGCCTGTGTTATTGACAGATTTACATACAGGGAAACAGTTTTTCATGCATACAGAGTGGTTTGCTGTTTATGAAAAAAATCCACCCTGATTATCTGGCTTGTTATTATATGATAAGGAGTTCAGTAATGTGTTGGTTGCTATCTGAAGTTCAATTTCAAACTATGCTATTTGGTTTTTAATCCCACTGGATAAGGTTCATCTTTGTGATTCGAAAAAAATAGTAGTTGACGTGACTCTGTTTTTGAAATGATTATTGGTTTTCCTGTGATTATTTTGGTGTAATTAGGGTGTATTTACCTTCATTTTTAATATATCAAGAACGAAGCAAATACAGTTGTTTCATAAATTTGGGATTTTCAGTTTAGAAATCGCGTGGTGTTACAAAACAGTGCGTTTACATCACAGCTTCATACTTTTATAAATTTTTAATGAAACAAAAGCGTTCACGAGAGACGTATTATTTGTATGTCAAACCTTTTTTTTTTATCTACCCATGGTGTTTTGAGGCTATATTTTCCGTTTATGTGGAAATTGAAGGTATGTAGACTAATTTCTTGTGAAATGCTTACTGTCTGGTAAAAGTTACCAAACCTCTAAACTACTGTGTTGCCTTCTAAGGTTGTGATTACCGTTATATTTTCCTTCTGCTAGGCATCTCTGTGCTGTTTCTTGTGCAAAATGGGGAGTGAAGATATCAAGAATACCAATAAGGATTTCATAAGACCCAAATGTTTGCTTGCTTGTGCACATTGTATCCATTTCGCTTGTTGGGATTATCGACATATATATTTACATAGGAATGACCATCCTGACCACATTCTTTGTGAGTTTATTTCGTTTTGTATAAAGTTTTCCTAGATTATTAACAAATCATTTCAATTATCAGAGCATATTTTCAAAACATATTGCAACTACCTCACTATTCCTTTAAAATAACACCCATACCTTATATATTTAGTCTGTTAAGTGTAATAAGTTGATTATTTGATACGATGTATCCCGCCTTAAATGGGAAGACAAATTTACAGGGTACTGTTGGAGTCTTTTGATTGTGATTTGCATTTGTTTATCTAGTTTTTTTGGTTAAATAATTGATTTATTTCTAAAGCAGGCCTAGCATTGAGCACACTACATTCTAGTTATGAACAAGTAGTCTACGGCATTCAAGGATTTGAAAATGGTTAGATTGAACAATAAAGCCAATCCACAGAGTCTAACTGTTAATATCCTTACGGCGTTTTTGAAATGCTAAAAGTCATTGGTTGGGAACTGTTAGTGAAGTGATTCGGAATCGTTCTCAGTAGGACATTTATATTCACATCTTATCTTCAAAATTCTGAACAACACTGATCTTCATTCAGTTATTGCCACCACAACCGAGTTTCTCCAATGCAGCTTTATCCTGTTTCAGGTACCTTTTTATATGAAGTCGGTGGCACAGTGGTTAGGACTCTCGCCGACCATGCACATGGTCCGAGGTTCGAGCCCCTGCCGGCGCACACCCGATATCTTTGGTCGGCCTGTATATTTGGGCTACCGATATCCATGCTGAAAATGCCATACTTGTACTGGAAATACGGTGTGGCATCAAGCTGTAACCAAAATAAAAAATAAATAAAAATAATAAAGTGTATCAGTAAAGTTAGTTGACCTTTAAGTTCATTATTCAACGATCATATCTTCACTCTTTGACAAATTCGGGAATGCAGGCATCTTTACTGGTATCTAACACTTTCCATATTCATTGACCTTAAGGCGGTGTCTGACTCCATCAACCGGGAGGCGGTGTTTTAATGTCTGACCGTAAAAGAAGTATCGAGAATATATGTCGCGCTACTCTAACTGATGCCTTCATGTTAGAGCTTATGCGGAGTTGTTTGAAGTCTCTAATAACTACATTCCTATGTGATTTCATAATAAATGTAACCCAAAATGACTCTAACGACTTAATAATTGGCTTGTTAGCAGGGGATAGACTTCGATTTATAGTGGGCAGGTGATACATCCGTTTAAGACCAGGACTTGGACAAAGTGCAGAGTCTTGCGAACACACTGAGCGGAAATCTTGGTGTCTAACAATGAGTTCGCCCCCTGTCAAATATAAGATAATACTGTAGAACTGATCTGCATAGACTCCTAGTTCAGAGGTAGGGAGTACATTGGTTGACGTGTTGACCAATTCAGTTATTTGGAAAGTTGCATCAGCTCTAACCCGCTTATTACTGACGAAAGCAGCACTTACAAAAGGTTCGTGTGGCCTCATTTCTGACATAGATGTAATATTTGGTTGTGGATCAAAGGAAGTGTGCAGCTCACAGAATTTCACCCCGTCCTTCTTTATGGCTGTGAGATGAGGTCGTTGAAGATATGAAGGGACTAGTCGTCTTTGATCGTATGCTATTAGGTCCTATCGCCGGTGTTAATAGGTGCTATATGGTGAGGAATACTGAAGTTAGGCATACTGCTGGATAAGAAGGGAAAACCAGTCGATGGGGTTGTGAAGCTACATCGAGTGAGGTGGCTAAGACACGTCTTATGCATTTTAAGCTGACATAGGGTTTGTTTGGGAAAGAGTTCAGGGTAGTGAAACCTAAAACTGACATCAGTCTATGAAGTCTTCGATCATTGGTTTTAGTCATGTAGGAGGTGTACACTGTCTGGTTGAGGCCTTCGGGAGGCTAAGAATCAATGGCTAGAGACAATTGATGATATGGCTCAAAATCTTTCTCAATGGCGCAAATGTATTAACTGTTTATGAACTCTTATACCCATCAAATTTTCATTATTATCTGTTTAAATATTCTTCCTCTCACTCATTTCCGTCTAATATAATTCCTTTCAGTTTTTCTCTCTACTATTTTGTGTGCTTAATGAAATGTAGCAACTTAAACTGTTGTACTTTTGTTGAAAGTTATGTGTTGAAAATTCATCCCAGTAGGTTTCATTGAGTGATTAACACTTGTTCATTTCTATTAAGCGGGTAGTGCAGATATAAAAGTATTGTGCAGTGTATAAATAGTTTCACCATCCGTTTCAACATAATTTAAAATGTTATTCACTACATTATAATTTGTTTTGTGTTTGCTTTAGCCGTTTGCACAGAACGTGGAGAATTATTTTGTCTTTGTTGTGGGGACTTTGTTTATCATTCGGTTGCGGAAGCTTTTCATCAACCTACATGCCGTTCCTACATGGCTCAGTTTGGTAAGTCAGTGATATTTAACCATCGGGATTAAAAAGTCATATTGGTATCTGTTATTTCGATCACAATTCATAATTTAATATAAAAGCTTAAATTTCACTGTAGTGTTAGTCACAAACAAACACAGCTAAAAGTTTTTGATGTCCACGAAGCTCTTTGCAACTATTTTGCGGTAGCTTGGGACTCTGTAAAAGTCTCTAAGTGAACCCGACTGAGGTGTCCAGAAGCTGTTTAGAAAAGCCGTGAAATTACAAATGTTAACGCAAGAACTCGACTTCAATTGGTTTATTTAAGCTAGATTCTTCCCAGTTTTCACCATGATGTATTTAGAACACTCAAGGGAATATCTATGAATTCTATTTAGTAATGCGTATATATATGTATTCATATATATAAATGCTGCAAACAAACTATGTGGGTACAGCTAGTTTTATTTGCTAACTGAAGTTACATTTAGTTTAATAAAAGTTCTAGGACGCCGTGTGAAGGTGTGCATCACTCGTCGGAATTGCATTTTTTAAATAATCTTTCCTTGCTTGGGATGTTTTGACAAGCATATATGTTGCCAAGGTCGTGGTCGTACTCCATATCACCAAGACAGTAAAAACTTTTTTAGTATGAACGACGTCTTTTTGTTTTTAATTAGGTGAAGATAAACTGTAACTACAACCAAAGCACCTTCAATAAACAATCATGGCACTAATCATGAATGCGGTGTGAGTTTTCCTTCAAGACTTTTCAGCTAATATGACTTATCTGCTTCTAATAAGTAGGGTCAAGGTTAATGGTTGGATTAGGGTTAGGAGTTAGATCTAGAATTAGAGCAACTATCAGGAGATTAGGGTAAGGCAGAATCGCAATCGTAAGCATTTAAGTTACAATTTACCAACAAACCCAAGGGCTGTATAACACTGTGACTTTGTCCGAATAAAAATTTTGTCCATAAGGGGCTTTTGCAGTTCTTTATTTGGATTGCGTATACAAGGTTATTTGGTAGCTGTCATAGTTTACCTTCACCTTTGGCAGAATGTACAACGCTCCAGTAAGTTTTACTCCTCACCCGTGATATAAGAGTATCAAAAGACTTTCCGACCCATACTTCGTTTCACATACCCGTTAAACATGATACAAGTTAGACCTTAATCTGAACCATCTTAATAAATTAGTCCCGGAAGAAGACAAGGGCCAGGCAACAGATCGTTTATTAAGGAAATCAACACATATTTATATTCAAAAGAATGGATATTGGACAAAGAGTACTCTTTCCGATAAACTAATCATCAGGCTCTACAATTATATATACATTATAGTGAATGAATGAATTACTGTTATAAACGACATTAATGTTTAAATAACATCGAATCAATAATATTGATAGATTACAGCTGAATAGCATCAACATAAAATAAGCTGAATGTGAAGAGGAAGTGAAGAGCCATTAAGTAGAGGAGTTGCGTTAGTAGAAGGAAGGTAAGATAATAGAGATGAAGATGAAGACAAAGGTGAGTGAGGAATAAAGAGGTTTCGCGTGCTCTTCGGGTTGTGAGGGCGATTGTTACTTCCCGGCTGCCCACACCGTGGAAGTTGGTTGCGTGACCGCAGAGCCCAGGAGACAACTGCTTGAGGCCGGTCACACACGGCCTGTTTTTGTTTGTTGTTTTTTATTTGGTGTGTCTCAGTAGCGTATTTATCACTTCTGCCCTGTGACACGGCAGCAGAAAGCGCGGTCGTTGTTAATCTGGGCCCCGACCGATCCGGCATGGTATTTTGTGATTTGTGTGAAGTCATAGGATTGGATTGGGTAACTGCTTTTAGTCTAACCGCTATCCAAACAACCTTCCTGGCATGGTAGGACCTGCAGGAACATAAGTTCCAGCCAGTATTGCTTGTTGGGTCATTGCGATATGCAAGCCCGACCACCACGTCAAGGTAGCAGCTATCGGCCGGGTAGCTGAATGTCAGAAGAATTAGGAAAGATAATATTACAAATTCATGAGTTTATAGTTTCTACTGAGGGCCAGGGCAGTAGTCGGGGCTGGACTTATTTCTTTTGAACACAGAACACTGGTTGTTTGAGGCGAATTGCAATATTTATATATTTTCATGTACATTATTATAGATTATTCAAGCAAACAAACACAGTCCTCTGTTTGTTTGTTTCTCACTGAAAGTTAATCTTTCATCTCTTTGTGGCTGTTTCTTGAATGTCAGATCATCTATATGCTAACTGTATCTGCCTACGCAAAGTCTTTGTTCTCTTCTCACTACTAATATTGGGGACATAAACATTGACGAAAATTAGTCTACCAACTTTAGATAGCAGCCAGCTCTCACCACACTGGAATGTACGAATAGCGCCTCGAGTTAAATTTACTCATCTTTTTTACATAATAGTACTATTTTTGCTGTAAAATGGAGTGGTAGATAGGACTAGTTAGGACTCTCGCCGACCATGCACATGGTCCGGGGTTCGATCCCCTGCCGGCGCACACCCGATATCTATGGTCAGCCTGAATTTGGGCTACCGATATCCATGCTGAAAATTCCACACTTGTACTGAAAGTACGGTGTGGAATCAAGCTGTAAATCAAAAAAAAAAAAATAAAAAAAAATATGTCCGATATCTTGAATGTGTTTGGGGTGAATTACTCACGAGTATTCTTGATCTTGCTGATTAACTCATTAGAGATTGTTTAGTTTCCCAAATAACTAATCAACACAGAATTCCTCATTTCTATGAATGTTATATGCCTTTGCGGGCCGACCATGAACCATGGTTTCATTACAAATGCAGGTGTTTACCGAACGAGGTTCTGAGGTCTATTCATTAGATTATATCGTAGTCTTCATCTGTGCTTAATATTTCTGTGTGAGTTATTTTTAAGCATCATTCAGGTGCTAAATGCATATGAACCGTAGGATTTTAGGAGACACGTAGGGGAGCTACGACGCACCAACAGATCCTAAGTTGACACAACTTTAATTCATCTCAAATGTACCGACTTGGTTTCGACATACATTGAGAAATCCCATCCGTTGCACCTTCATCGGTACCGAAATAAATACCTAAGTACAAGAACTTTTCGACTACTTCTATTGAATGGGTGGGTTCCTACGAAATCTGCAAACCTACTTTCTTTGACAATGTGAAGCCTATGCCCTAATTACAGGTGGTGAGCATAAAAAATGTTGATTTAATATCTGTCAAACTAAAGTTGAAGTATAACAATGAACGCACATTATTATGACGCTTGTTTTCTACTGAAAATGCCCAAATACATATTGCATCAATAAAATCAACAGTTATCTTTCCTTTGAATGTAGGGTTTGTAGAGAACTTAACTGGTTTGACGAGAGACGTTCTTATACAGTGATATCAACAAAGGAACTATTGACCGATTTACTTGGGTTATTAACGTAGAACTCTATGAGTGTGCCACTTCAAGTTCCTACACTTCAGAAAAAGCAGAATTAGTAGAAATAAATGTAGTGGGAATAAATTCCATGCAAATGTGTATAGGAGATATCAGTTCTGCAGCATAATCTTTGATTATATAGGGGCAAATTTTATGCAAAACATACATGCGCTTTTTCTCAGGGTGTTCGGGTGAACCTCCACTTTGTCAGCATTTTGCCTTAAAGACTATATAGTTAGCATGGTCTAAGTCCCGGCCGATAGCTGCTACCTTGACGGGGTGGTCGGGTTTGCATATCGCAATGACCCAACGAGCTACACTGGCTGGGACTTATGTTCCTGTTGGTCCTACCATGCCAGAAAGGTTGTTTGGATAGCGGTTAGACAAAAAGCAGCTACCCAATCCAACACTATGATTCAAACAAATTCACAAAATATCATGCCGGGTCGGTCGGGGCCCGGATTAACAACGACCGCGCTTCCTGCTGCTGTCATAGGGCAGAAGTGATAAATATGCCACTGAGACACACCAAATGAAAAAGAACAAACAAAACTGGCGGCGTGTGACCGGCCTCAAGCAGTTGTCCCCTGGGCTCTGCGGTCACGCAACACTAACCTTTTCTCTATTTCAGGTACCCGAAGGCTCAACCAACTTCCACGGTGTGGGCGGCCGGGAAGTAACAACCACCCACATACTTCCAAAAGCACACGAAGCTTACCTGAGCATCACTCTCCCCTACTCACATCACCTTCCTCATCTTGCTTCTCTACTACAGCTAGCACTATTCTCCAGGCTAATGAGTCATCTTCACTTCACTCTGTGTCCACAAACAACGATGAGAGCCATAGAAACAACCCTGATAGCCTTTTAAAGCCACGTCGCCAACTTCATATAGGAGCTTTTAACGTCAGGACCCTCTGCCAAATCGGACAAAAGGCATCGCTAGCAAGAACCCTGGAATCTAGAGCCATGGATGTATGTGTGGTCATTCACTTGACCTCACCCTGTCAACAAGGTGAATCTGCAAAATTCACTTTAAGGGTGTCGGGAGACCCCTCAGCTAGCTCACGAGGACTCGCAGGTGTAGGGATAGCACTGAGTGTTAGGGCGGAAAAATCGCTCCTTGACTGGATCCCAGTAGACAGTCGTATGTGCGCGGTCCGTCTGAACGGGTCCGTTAAAAGAAGGAAAGACGGCGCTACCCGTCGTTACCTTTTCGTAGTCCACTTACGCCCCAACAGATTGCAGTTCGGATGAATTAAAAGATGACTTCTACCTGAAATTGTCTAATTTGCTGCAAAAAGCGAAACGTTCAGACATAGTTGTTTTAGCAGGCTACTTCAATGCCCAAGTAGAGAAGTTGTGCCAGACTGAGAAGTATGTAGGTGGTACGTATGGAGTTCCCTGCCGACGAACCGACAACGGTGATCGTCTTCTTCAGTTTTGCTCAGATAATCATCTGTTCCTAGTCAGCACTAACTTTAGGCACAAAGAAAGACATTGTGTAACCTGGCGACCTCCATCACTAAATCAACGCTGGACTCAGATAGATCACATAGCGATAGGATATCGTTGGCTAGGGTCAGTAGAAGACTGTCGCTCCTTTTGGAACACGTGCGTAGACTCTGATCACGCTCTGGTTCGCACACGTTTATGTTTATGACTAAATGAACATAAAAAGTTGCTGGCAACGAAGCAGTTACGTCCCCAACTAGATCGTGACACTGAGTCCCTATTTAAGGAGGATATAGCGAAACGTGTATCTGAGATCGTCAGCAGGGCTTCCCCTGAGGTAGCCTGGCACAACATACAGTTAGTTGTAGACACAGCTGTAAAAGCTGTTAAAAACATAAAACTAAAAGTAAGTAAGAGCTATTGGATTTCTACCACCTCATCCGAACTGATGGACGCAAGAAGACTGATTCCAGTGAGCTCCGATTCTGATGAAGAGCGAAAGCTACTCAAACGCAAACTAACAAGAAGACTTCGTAACGACCGTGAACAGTGGCGGGTGACAAAAGCGAAAGAGATGGAAAAGGCATCGGCGATTGGCAACATCAGACACCTATTCAGGCTTATCAGGGAAACAGGTGGCAAAAGGCAAATGATAAGCGAAACAATCTCGGAGAAAAATGGCACCATAATTAGCTCCCAGGATAGACGACTGGAGCAGTTTAATTGGCCTACAGCCACACTTAACCTGCCGAACATCCAGCACCTCCCTGAATGGGATATAGACACAGGTCCTCCGTCCTTAACTGAGGTTACTAAAGCTGTCACTAATCTGAAGCAAGGCAAAGCAGCGGGACCTGATGGAATGACTCCAAAGGTATTTAAGTACGGTGGAGACAGTTTACTGTCTGCATTAACCGAGGTTCTAGGCAGCGCCTGGGAATCAGAGGAAGTCCCGTCGGGTTGGTTTAAGTCATTGATTATCCCGATATACAAGAAGGGAGACAAGTGCTCTTGTGATAATCACAGGGGGATTAGGTTGACTAATATGATATCTCAAGTTCTAGGCTCAATAATACTGCGTAGACTAAGTGGTGCTCGGGAGGCACAAACACGAGAAAACCAGGCAGGTTTCGGCCAGGAAGAGGGTGAATTGATCATATCTTCACCCTTCGACAGATTCTAGAACATAGGCATTCCTACTGGCGTCCAACAATTGTTATATTTCTTGACCTAAAGGCGGCATTCGATTCTGTCGACCGAGAGGTTCTCTGGCGATGGTTGGCTGTAAAGGGAATGCCGAGAAAATACATTGCACTGATTAAGGCACTCTACTCGAACTCATGCAGCCAGGTAATAGTTTACGGTGAGTTATCATCTGAAGTGGTGGCGACTAGTGGCGTCCGTCAAGGATGCCTACTGTCCCCATTTCTATTCACTTTCATCATGAATGTACTGATGGACGTAACCCTCACTGCTGACTTCAACGACTTAGGGATTGACTTACCATCAGGGAATAATCTCGTTGACTCAGAATATGCGGACGATATAGTCCTTCTAGGCGAAGACGCTGAGAAAATGCAGAGTCTTCTGAACGCCTTGAGTTGCAGTCTGCTAATGTTTGGCATGCGATTCGCCCCTGTAAAATGTAAGGTGATGCTGCAGGATTAGACTTCACCGACCCCTAGATTAGAAATAGGAAGTGAAGTGGTAGAGCACGTTGACCGCTTCACTTACTTGGGAAGTTGCATCAGCCCCAACGGGTTGATCGCTGAGGAAATCTCAGCACGAATACAGAGGGCTAGTTTCGCATATGCCAGTTTACGCCGTCTCTGGCGTAGACGTAGTATCCGGCTACCGAACAAAGGACGTGTGTACTGCTCAACAGTCCGCTCCGTCCTCCTTTATGACTGTGAGACCTAGCCATTGAGAGCAGAAGACATAAAAAGATTAGCTGTCTTCGATCATAGGTGCCTGCGTTCTATCTCCCGCGTGAAGTGGTATAATAAGGTGAGCAATATTGAGGTCAGGCGTCGAGTGCTAGGTAAGGAGGGGAAATCAGTCGACGGGACTGTGAAATTACATCGACTGAGATGGTTAGGACATGTGTTACGTATGCCTAGTCATCGCCTTCCTCGACGGGCAATGTTAGCTGATATAGGGCCAGACTGGAAAAGAGCCAGTGGTGGTCAAACCAAAACCTGGCTTCATCAGCCAATGAAATCCACAACAGTTAGTTTAAACCAGCCACGTACGAAGATGTAGACTTCCTGGTTGGGTTCCTAGGGACGGTAGAAACCAATGGCTGGAAACAATCGGTGACATGACTCAAAATCGTTGTCAATGGCTGGTGCAGATGCATCCACTCCTTGTGACTTATGATTTCCAATGAAACTGTTTTGTTCTTCGTTATTACTATTCCTTTGTCTCACACCTCTGTTTACTGTCTATATTATTAAGCATTTCTCCTACTTTCTTCTCTTGCTTTGTGTGCTACATGGAGGGAGTGTGGCGACTTGAACTGCCGCACATATGTGCAAAGTTCTATGTCGAAAACCGGCCGACCGACCGAGCATGGTCTAAGTAAACGAGGTTTTGGATAATAATTTGACCCATGAGACATTGATGTTGGCCAAAGTCATATCTGTTACTGCATCTATAATGTAATTCTAAAAAGAGATGATAGTGGCACCCTTGACGCACACCACTAGTTGTCGTCATTTTTCACAAACTCCTAGACGAACAGATAAGTTCAAGTAAAGTGCGTTGAATAGTACAATATACTTTCTTGATACTCCTTTCAAAATCAAATACTGATAGCTTTTGCAACCTAGGTTGCAGTTAAAGGACTAATGTCACCTCATTCATACGGGTTGAACGGTGGGAAAGTGTGGTGAAGCTGTAAGTTATTTAAGTTGCCTCTACCAAACATCTCAACTTTCCTCAGTAGTCATGGAGGTCCTATCATCATCGTTGATAATTTCACTTATAGTTTTTTAGGGGCCGTTTCCACAATTGGCCTAAATAGTTGGCGGACATTTTTCATTACTGATACGCTTTCCATTTCTTTATCTTTTATTACTTACCATTGTGCGCATTCATTTGGACAACTTTTAGTTACCTTACATTCAGATAGCCTCTACTCCTTATCGTTTTCGGAGCTTGCCGAGATCATTCTTTCCATGAATCAGTTTGGATGGAACTGCAGAAATCCACTGGTATCAACTAAGTTTTGACTGAAAGTTATTAGTAGCCTTCAATACTTTTTTTGATAAACTGGTTACACTGCCAGGGTTCTTCAGCATGCTTTCATACTCATACTAACCAAATCAGTGAGATGGGCACGTAAAGAATCCACAGATGTGTGATTCCTGCTTTCTAAGATAGGCATACACTTGCGTGGACAAATACACGAGCATAGTCCACACAGGTGTTCCAAAAGGAGTGACAATTTACAGTCAGTTCACTTCATCTGGGGCTCTATTTATTTCCATCGTTGATATCAGCTGTCTCCGTGAGACAGTATGTCTGCTTATTTTTCAAGTTTGATTCGGCCAAGAATAGAAGGAATCTAGACAAAGTTGTGTGCGTTGGTGGCACAGCGGCTAGGTTGCTCGCCGACCATGTACATGGTCCGGGGTTCGATTCCTGGCCGACGCACTCCTTTACCTCACTAAGCCAGCATTAACTGGAGAAGAGAAAAGGTTGGGCATGAGACTAGCAACCCCATCCTGTAAACATAAACACTGCTACAGAAACTTCAAGCCTCTAGCTTGAAGCCCTATGTTCCAGTGGGAACGTGAAGGAATAAAATAAAGACATAGTTGTAATATACGGTGTTTGTTTTTCAGCATCGTACATTATAAACGCTGTCATCCAACTGTGTCTTGTCCCACCTTAGAACTTTTCAGTAACTGGAACTCGTGATCTTGAGATTTATATGACTTGTGACCATCGAGTTGCAGGCGATTAACGTTAAAATCAACTACATTAAACCCAATAACTCACACAGCAATAATTTAGCTCAATCAAGTGTTACCATTAAGTCATTACGTGATAATCCAAGGTTACTTCTCATACAATGTCATGTGTGCATGTGACTAAAAGTTTCGAACTTAATCGAAGCAACTGTTTAGTACACTCTGACTTCCAGTGTTCTTTGAGTTGATGTTAGCTTGTAACAATATCTACTTTCAAATACATTTTTCTTGTTGACCAAAACTATGCATAAGAGTCAGTGTTGGTGTTTGATATTCTTGAAAATGAATTAACTGAATTTTTTTTGATAAAGTAAAATTTGTGTTTATGAAATAGATTTTATTTTTTATTGCCTTATATGTAAATATATTTCAGGTTTGTCAAATCAGCACTGGAGACCGTCATTCAGTGAACTGACTTTATTACCTCATATTACTCCAGTACTACCACTATCAGTTAATGCTAGCAGTAAAAGTTAGTTTATTTTAAAGCTTGAAATAAATTAATTGAAGTTTACTCTGTAATTGGTTTTTGAGGAATTTTTTATCCTATACATTATTTTCCCGATTTGAGAAAGGCTTTGTGATAACTTTGAGATTACAGATGATCGAGCAAATATGTCCCCATCAAAGTCTTACCTCTCTTGAGATAAACATATGTGTAGTTTAACATTAAAGTCGCCAGGTAAATAAAGTTTTCACTATCCAAACGTGGATGAAGAAGAACTATCACGTGTTAACTACGTAAATAATTAATTAATCCAGTGTTCAAAGTCAGAGTAGTTTCAGTAGAATTTAACGTGATATCAGGACTAATAATTGATAAGCAGAACAGCTGTTAAGTTGGATGAGATTACTCACACAATTATTTAGCCATATCTCTTTCATAATTCTGCTTCTGACAATGAAACGATGAATAATAAAAGGTTTGTAATCTGAATATACTTCTTTTGGTTACATATTTGAAATTTGATGAGTTGAATGGATCGATACCGGTTGCAAAGTCTGAAGGAAATTAACATATATGTTGCTAGGAAAAAGCTGGCCAACGTTAATTAGTGTGCAAACGATGTAATCGTCGGCAAATATAGTTCTCTGGCTGTTTAGAGTCAAAATTTGTGTTTGGCATACGGTTCGCCCCTGTCAAATGTCGGGTGATATCACAAGACTGTTTTGCACTGGCTCGCAATTTAAGGTTAGTAAGTGAGATGGTCAAATGTGTTCACTGTTTATTTCGGAGGTTATATCATTCATCTTTTATGCTCTGGTTGCCGTCAAATTCCCTATAGTGATAGAGATAGTCAGTTTAGCATCTGCCAACCCCTGTCCTCCTTAACTTGGGAGGGATATCCGGCTACCTGTCAGTTAAAGTATGCGCTGATCAACAGTCCATTCAATCCTACTTTACGATTGCGTAGCAAGATCCGTAAAAGTAGTAGATATAATGAGACTAGGTTTCTGATCAGAGACATTTGTCCCACAGCTTGCATAAGATGCAGCCATGGAGTAAACAATGTTGACACTAGACGCATCATTAAGTAAAGAAGCCAAGTCAGTTAATAAGGTTGTGAAGCTTCATCGAAGAGGGTGGTTAGGATACATGTAACATATGCTGAGCCACTGCATTCCTTAACGAACTATGCTAGCCAAATTACAATTGGGTTGTAAGAGCTGAGGGCGTTCAGACCAAAATATTGACACAAATAGGTAAAATGATTGTCTGTTGCTCTTAGTTACTCAGGGAGGCAGAGATTGCCTCCCTGGAGTGTCATCAGGATGCTAAGAACCAGAAGTTTTCATTTATGGCTGGAAATCATTCACTGTTGCGCAGATGTATTCACTCCTTTGCATCTAACAGATCCTGGAAGTATTTACTGGTCTTTATTTAGGTATTTTCTCTTTTATACAACTCTCATTGTAGTTTCATTACATTCAGTATTCCTACTTCTATATACTTTTCTGAAGTATGTCCTCTTGAAATGATGCAATTTTGTGCACATTATTAAGTTGTTCAAGCAGTTAGATGTGTATATCACGTTGTAAAGGTTGTCATTACTTTTGATGGAGACTTATTTTGGTTGCAACACTATCATCTGTTTGCATCTACCATGCTACAGTTTGCACAGACTTTAAGACAATAAGCTACCAATTAATTAAAGCGAGTAGGAGATAGTTAATTTTTGGAAGTATACGTAACCTGACAGCCAGAAAGTTAGTTTTGAATAGGCATACAAATCTCCGTACGGGGATCAGTTATTGGATGATACTTCTGAAGTCGTGAGGAACTCCCGTCTTGTGGAAAGTGATTACTGAATAGTGGCTAATGTATTTTCAAGATGACACTCCTATCACGACAATAAATGAGAAACAATATGATATACTGCGTTTAATATGTCATTTCCGGCAAATATATTGTTTCAGTAGTTACTTTATAGTAACCCCATTGTTTGGAAGCATTATTTTCATAATATGTTAACTAAGAATGTTGTGTTGAGTGTGTTAAGAGTTTTTGAAAATTTATTTGACATTTTTCAAATGCAATGATAAAGCATAGTGGTCACTGTTTAAGAGTTATGTATATTTCGGTGTAAGAAACTCACGTAAAAACCCATGCCCTTAAAATTTATTAGGCTAAATCCAGGACTATTAATTGGTTGAATAAGCTGGGAAAAATGCAGTGTTTATAAATGAAATGTCCATCTGAACAGCTGGAGTTTTCACTTGTTATCCTGACATTTTATTAGTTCAGTCAGTGCTTTTCTACATTTTCTGCTGGGTAACTAAATAATTTCAAATCTAGTCAAATTTTCTTTTCATTTTATACTTACTTGATTAGCACAGTACACCATTGTCAATATAGAGACATCCGCTCCGAAAAGAATGGCAGTCCTGCTACCTTATCTATGGTTAGTTTCACTACTTTCTGTGACTTTGATTTTAATAACAAAGGAAGGATACCGCCTAGAGTCTCATTGGTAAATGTGCTAGAATATGTTGCTGGTTGGAGATAACTTGTTACCTTCACAATGCTTCAGGTCGTCGCAGTTACACAATCTGTAACTTACTATTTGCCTATATTAACCATCCTGGCTCTTCTGCAAAGTCTACACACATTTGTTTTAAGTCGCTTCCTTAATAATAAGTTTTTCCGCTTGTTTGATATGAGTTTACACTACATTGACTGCGCTGCTTATTGTTACAATGATATATTATCCCCAATAAATTTATTGTTAACGCTTGCCAACTTCTTCCATATTCGACACTGATGTGCCATGTGAATGCCGATCAGAAGATAATTATTGTGCAACGATCCCGTTGCTTCTTTTCTTGTAAACTTGCTCTACGCCTGTGAAACCTGGCCTCTCCGAGCTGATGATGTGCGGTGACTCTGCGTGTTCGATCATCGCTGTCCCCGCAGGATTGCTTGTGTTTGATGGCATCATCGCGTGAGTAATTCTGAGGTTCGGCGGCGTGTGTTTGAACACAGTGGAGATCACCATTCATTGAGTGTCGTCATCTGGAAACGCCGGTTCCGGTGGCTTGGACAAGTGCTGCGAATGTCATCCCAGAGGCTTCCGTACAGGTCTCTGTTCGCTAGCCCTGGGACGGGGTGGAAGAGGCGGAGGGGTGGTCAGTCCATGACGTGGCGTCGTGCGATGAAGGATCTTTGTGCTAGATTAGCATCGGTTGGTGCGTCACGGCTCCCTGGTTGGGGTCCGCGATATAGCTCGAAACGTTATCGGATACGGTGAAGAATCGTAATCAATGGCGAACGTGTTGCAATTTCCTTCTTTCTTCCCTTCCTTATGATAGTTAACGAATACTGTTTGAACTTGTTAAACATGACCGTTTTCCTTCCAGATGAAGTTTTTTATCCGTTCTCTACCTATATTTTTTACTTTTAATCTATGTTGTTTTATTATCATTGTGTGGCGCATCTTTCTTGGTGCCATATTGTACCAAGTTTTTTCTGCGTTTAAATAAAATAAAATAAAAGGATTGAAGGAAGTAACAGTTTTGGAAATATGTTAAACTAATTTTTTCATTTTTTATATTTTACTCTTGGAAGTAAAGCACCTCAATTTGTCCTGTTTACTTGTAGCTATGCGCGGTCTTGTCAACATGGGGAATACATGTTTCTTGAACGTTGTTATTCAAGTACTAACTCATACACCAGTTCTGCGAGATTATTTGTTGTCAGATTTGCATCGATGTACCAGCCCAACAAGATCCCGTAATTGTTTGGCTTGCGAAATGGTCCGCATTACACAAGAGGTATATTTTGCGGTTATTTTAGTTTTTTCTAATTTTGATTATTTCAGGATGTCTGCCTGTCTGTTAATATCAAGAACATCGTTTGAACAAATCACCTATTGACGTATCCCTGATCACAGGCATTTATTGATGTTAAACATTTGCCGTACTAAATCCATGGCGGTTTTAGAATATATAGACGTAAAGGTGCTTTGGTCATGTTTGACCGTGAAAAAATTACTGAGAAAGTAGGTTGTGCTAATCAAAATACTACCTAAACTGCCTCGGCTGCAGAAGAACTCATGGTAAGTTGTCATCCGAGGGCATTCTTCAACTTCAGTCATCTTTAGAGCTGGGGGAAAATCCCTCTACGTTGAAGGAAATGTCAAGTGTAGTACTATCCTACTGCATGACAGTGGGGCATTAATGTTGAAGATCCGAAGATATTAAACGATGTTTGTGTAGTATGACTTAAAAATGAAGAATCCACGTGTAGATTTACGTAGAAAAAATGGTCGTATTACATTACCGGCTGTGATGATTGGGATATTTGTTGCCGGTGACAGAGTTTACATCGCCTCAAAATGCAATTTTACGTGCATTCAAATTAGGACAAATTGAAACAAAAAGTGACGAAACCAAGACAGCGTCATTTTATAAAGTTAGTAATCCTTGGTAGCGGTTGTGTGGAGGGATGTGGGTTGTTTGACTGTCGTCTTCATCATCGTAAGAATTGATGGTTTTCAAGGCTCATTATGACAGAGTCCTAATTTGACAATAATAACAACTTAGAGTGATGAACTTTTGTGGATAGTTCTGGAAATGACCTGTGATTTTAGTTATTTGTCATATTTAACTAAATAGGTCTTGATAGTCGCATGTGAATTTTTTATGAGTAACTGTAAATGTTTTACAATTAATTTTATTTAATCCCATATTAATTTGTTTTTTAGATATATAACACAGTGAAACAGTATAATTTACTGGATGACAACGTTTCGAACACAATTAATTTTTCATAATCATACTAATTCTAATCACACAACTTCGAAACTTGAGTTTTATAGTTTTCTTTATTCTTCCCTATTCGTCGTCGTAGGGGTAGTAGAATTTTCCAGATGTCCGGGTGGACAGGTGTTGAATCATTCCTAATAGACGTATTTGCAGTTGATTCAATGAAAAACTTCTGTTATCCACCTCTCCCTCCAACCGGTTATATTAGATTTAAAAACTTATCTTTTCCCATTCTATTGTATGATTGTGTGTAATTGCATGTATTGCTGTAGAGTTCAGCTGTAAGGAGGAAGAGATTATTAACGGAAGCTTTATTTATCGAATCAACTGAAGAGAGTACGTGTAATAGGAATGGTTCAACACCTGTCCACCCGGACATCTGGAAAATTCTACTACCCCTACGACGACGAATAGGAAAGAATAAAGAAAACTATAAAACTCAAGTTTCGAAGTTGTGTGATTAGAATTATTATGATTATGAACAATAAATTTTGTTCGAAACATCATCCAGTAAATAATACTGTTTCACTGTGTGATATATCTAATGAACAAATTAATATGGAATTACGTGCTACTACAGTGCTCAATTTTCCCACATATATTGATTTTATTCAACACTGATATGAGCATAAGTTTTTTCGTAATCTTTCCTTTATTGATGTTAACTCTTATATTTAAAGATATACAAACCTGTCGTTACTCCGTTTGTACCGAACAACCTACTTTATGCTATTTGGTTGCATGCAAGCCATTTGGCTGGATATGAACAACGCGATGCGCACGAATTTCTCATAACCTTGTTGACATTGATACATGGTCATCTTGTCGGCGAAGTTTCATCCCGTGATATCGGTAAGCAATTGTTGATTCGTGTGGACAGGATGAATCCTTCCTATTATGTTGCTAATAACTTCCTGCATATGGTCCGGGGTTCGATCCCCGGCCGACGCACTCCTTTACCTCGCTAAGCCAGAAATAATGCTGGTGAAGGGGAAAGGTTGGGCATGAGGCTAGCAACCCCATCCTGTAAAATAAACACTGCTACAGAAACTTCAAGCCGTTAGCTTGAAACCCTATGTTCCACTGGGGAACGTGAAGGAAATATATATATATATATATATGATTAGCATAGCTCAAAATCGTTCATGTTGTTACAAATGTCTTCGCTGTTCCTCATCGCCAGAATCCTGAATGTTTCCACTTATCATCGTTTAGAAATTATTTATTATCTTGCCTTTACATATATCAATTGTTGTATCATTCTATTACTCTTAACATTCTTAATGTGCTATTTTGAATCTGTACAGGATTGTTTTTGTCAAATCGTGTTGAGTAGACTGCTGCGTCATTGTAAGTTGAGTGTGTGTTTGCAGTTGAAATGACATTAGGATGACTTAAGGGAATTTAATGTAGGGGTAATAATATTGTTGTTATTTTAATGTTCTTAAATCGGGTGGTAGTAGTAATGCGTAACTGAACTGCTTGTTTACCAATTTTTAATTATTAGATGTTTGCACAATTAACAAAGACAAGCATGATGAAGATGATCAGTGTATGAATACAAATGGTTTCACAAGTGACCACAGTTCTATTCCTAATATTGACAAGCCTACCATTGAAGCTTCTGAAAGTATTCCACAACCAGACTGCAGCTCACAGGCGTCCGTGTCTAGTTCTCGTGAAAGTTCTGATTCTTGTGATTGTATTGTTCATCAGGTAAGCATTTATTTTATGCTTGTCAATTGTTCATTGAAGTTCGTCAAGCAAAAATGATCTTAGGATGGATTTTATTACTAGATAACATCACTTGGTGAATAACTAAATAAAAGGCAGCAATCAACACTTCTTCCGTCTTGGTCTCTGCTTACGCCCCAACAGACTGCAGTTCGGATGAATTAAAAGATGACTTCTACCTGAAATTGTCTAATTTGCTGCAAAAAGCGAAACATTCAGATATAGTTGTTTTAGCAGGCTACTTCAATGCCCAAGTAGAGGAGTTGTGCCAGACTGAGAAGTATGTAGGTGGTACGTATGGAGTTCCCTGCCGACGAACCGACAACGGTGATTGTCTTCTTCAGTTTTGCTCAGATAATCATCTGTTCCTAGTCAGCACTAACTTTAGGCACAAAGAAAGACATTGTGTAACCTGGCGACCTCCATCACTAAATCAACGCTGGACTCAGATAGATCACATAGCGATAGGATATCGTTGGCTAGGGTCAGTAGAAGACTGTCGCTCCTTTTGGAACACGTGCGTAGACTCTGATCACGCTCTGGTTCGCACACGTTTATGTTTATGACTAAATGGACATAAAAAGTTGCTGGCAACGAAGCAGTTACGTCCCCAACTAGATCGTGACACTGAGTCCCTATTTAAGGAGGATATAGCGAAACGTGTATCTGAGATCGTCAGCAGGGCTTCCCCTGAGGTAGCCTGGCACAACATACAGTTAGTTGTAGACACAGCTGTAAAAGCTGTTAAAAACATAAAACTAAAAGTAAGTAAGAGCTATTGGATTTCTACCACCTCATCCGAACTGATGGACGCAAGAAGACTGATTCCAGTGAGCTCCGATTCTGATGAAGAGCGAAAGCTACTCAAACGCAAACTAACAAGAAGACTTCGTAACGACCGTGAACAGTGGCAGGTGACAAAAGCGAAAGAGATGGAAAAGGCATCGGCGATTGGCAACATCAGACACCTATTCAGGCTTATCAGGGAAACAGGTGGCAAAAGGCAAATGATAAGCGAAACAATCTCGGAGAAAAATGGCACCATAATTAGCTCCCAGGATAGACGACTGGAGCAGTTTAATTGGCCTACAGCCACACTTAACCTGCCGAACATCCAGCACCTCCCTGAATGGGATATAGACACAGGTCCTCCGTCCTTAACTGAGGTTACTAAAGCTGTCACTAATCTGAAGCAAGGCAAAGCAGCGGGACCTGATGGAATGACTCCAAAGGTATTTAAGTACGGTGGAGACAGTTTACTGTCTGCATTAACCGAGGTTCTAGGCAGCGCCTGGGAATCAGAGGAAGTCCCGTCGGGTTGGTTTAAGTCATTGATTATCCCGATATACAAGAAGGGAGACAAGTGCTCTTGTGATAATCACAGGGGGATTAGGTTGACTAATATGATATCTCAAGTTCTAGGCTCAATAATACTGCGTAGACTAAGTGGTGCTCGGGAGGCACAAACACGAGAAAACCAGGCAGGTTTCGGCCAGGAAGAGGGTGAATTGATCATATCTTCACCCTTCGACAGATTCTAGAACATAGGCATTCCTACTGGCGTCCAACAATTGTTATATTTCTTGACCTAAAGGCGGCATTCGATTCTGTCGACCGAGAGGTTCTCTGGCGATGGTTGGCTGTAAAGGGAATGCCGAGAAAATACATTGCACTGATTAAGGCACTCTACTCGAACTCATGCAGCCAGGTAATAGTTTACGGTGAGTTATCATCTGAAGTGGTGGCGACTAGTGGCGTCCGTCAAGGATGCCTACTGTCCCCATTTCTATTCACTTTCATCATGAATGTACTGATGGACGTAACCCTCACTGCTGACTTCAACGACTTAGGGATTGACTTACCATCAGGGAATAATCTCGTTGACTCAGAATATGCGGACGATATAGTCCTTCTAGGCGAAGACGCTGAGAAAATGCAGAGTCTTCTGAACGCCTTGAGTTGCAGTCTGCTAATGTTTGGCATGCGATTCGCCCCTGTAAAATGTAAGGTGATGCTGCAGGATTAGACTTCACCGACCCCTAGATTAGAAATAGGAAGTGAAGTGGTAGAGCACGTTGACCGCTTCACTTACTTGGGAAGTTGCATCAGCCCCAACGGGTTGATCGCTGAGGAAATCTCAGCACGAATACAGAGGGCTAGTTTCGCATATGCCAGTTTACGCCGTCTCTGGCGTAGACGTAGTATCCGGCTATCGAACAAAGGACGTGTGTACTGCTCAACAGTCCGCTCCGTCCTCCTTTATGACTGTGAGACCTAGCCATTGAGAGCAGAAGACATAAAAAGATTAGCTGTCTTCGATCATAGGTGCCTGCGTTCTATCTCCCGCGTGAAGTGGTATAATAAGGTGAGCAATATTGAGGTCAGGCGTCGAGTGCTAGGTAAGGAGGGGAAATCAGTCGACGGGACTGTGAAATTACATCGACTGAGATGGTTAGGACATGTGTTACGTATGCCTAGTCATCGCCTTCCTCGACGGGCAATGTTAGCTGATATAGGGCCAGACTGGAAAAGAGCCAGTGGTGGTCAAACCAAAACCTGGCTTCATCAGCCAATGAAATCCACAACAGTTAGTTTAAACCAGCCACGTACGAAGATGTAGACTTCCTGGTTGGGTTCCTAGGGACGGTAGAAACCAATGGCTGGAAACAATCGGTGACATGACTCAAAATCGTTGTCAATGGCTGGTGCAGATGCATCCACTCCTTGTGACTTATGATTTCCAATGAAACTGTTTTGTTCTTCGTTATTACTATTCCTTTGTCTCACACCTCTGTTTACTGTCTATATTATTAAGCATTTCTCCTACTTTCTTCTCTTGCTTTGTGTGCTACATGGAGGGAGTGTGGTGACTCGAATTGCTGTCCATCGGTGTAAATTTCTATGTTGAAACCAGTCAGTCAGTCCGTCTTGGTCTAAAACTTTTCAGTAGTGCACACTCACCAAGTTTCTGTAGAAGTGTTTATTTTACAGGATGGGGTTGCTAGCCTCATGCCCAACCTTTCCTCTTTACCAGCATTATTTCTGGCTTAGCGAGGTAAAGGAGTGTGTCGGCCGGGGTTCAAACCCCGGACCATGTGCATGGTCGGCGAGCGTCCTAACCGCTATGCCACCGACGGACACACATGGAGTGTGGTGACTCGAATTGCTGCCCATAGTCTCTAAAATCCTAGGCTCAGTAATCATGCACAGACTAAGCCGAACTCGGGAGGAACAAACGAGGGAAAATCAAGCGGACTTTAGGCCAGGTAGGAGGTGTATAGATCATATCTTCACTCTCCGACAGATCCTAGAACATAGACACACTTTTAGGCGTCCAACAATTGTCATATTTCTTGATCTAAAGGCGTCCTTCGACTCCGTGGATCGAGAGGTACTATGGCAATGTTTTACTGTGAAGGGAGTGCCAAGAAAGTACATTGCACTAATCAAGGCACTCTACTCAAACTCACGTAGCCATGTAAGGGCTTATGGAGAATTGTCATCTGAATTGATAACAACCAGTGGTGTCCGTCAAGGATGTCCACTTTCCCCTTTTCTGTTTAACTTCATCATAGATATGCTAATGGAAGTATCCTTAACTGAACGACTAAGGAATCGACTTGTTACCAGGGAAAAGTCTTATGGACTTAGAATATGCAGATGACATAGTCCTGTTAGGAGAGGATGCTGACAAAATGCAGAGTCTTCTGAACACCTTGAGCAGCGATCTTCGTATGTTTGGCATGCGATTCGCCCCTGTGAAATGTAAGATGCTGCTACAGGACTGGACTACGTCAACTCCTAGCTTAGTGATAGAGAGTGAAGTGATAGAACGTGTTGACCACTTCACCTATTTCGGAAGTTGTATCAGCACCACCGGACTGATTGGCGACGAAATCTCAGCACGGATCCAAAAAGCTCGGGCTGCTTTCGCTAACTTACACCGTCCCTGGCGTAGGCGTGACATTCGGCTATCAACCAAGGGACGTGTGTACTGCTCAGCAGTTCACTCCGTCCTTCTCTATGGCTCTGAAACATGGCCAATATGAGTTGAATACATGAAAAGGTTGTCTGTTTTTGACCACAGATGTTTACGCTCTCTTTCTCGCGTTAGGTGGTATAGTGGTTAGGACTCTCGCCGACCATGCACATGGTCCGGGGTTCGACTCCCTGTCGACGCACACCTGATATCTATGGTCGGCCTGCAAAATTTGGGCTACCGATATTATACGCTGAAAATTCCATACCTGTACCAAAAAATACGATGTGGAATCAATCTGTAATCAAAAAAAATAATAAGGTAAGTAATGTTGACGTTAGACGTAGAGTGTTGGGCAGGGGGAAAATCAATCGAAGAGGCTATAAAGTTACATAGATTGAGATGGCTAGGTCACGTACTGCGCATGCCTAACCATCGCCTCCCCCGACGGACGGGCATTACTAGCTGATATAGGTGCAGGTTGGAAAAGAGTAAGTGGTGGCCAAACAAAAACATGGCATCAATCCATGAAATCCTTGACAGTTAAACTGAGTCAGGTAGGGAGATGCAGATGCCCGGACTGGGGCCCTCGGGACTCTAAGAATCAATGGCTGGAGACAATAGGTGACATGGCTCAAAATCGTTGTCAATGGCGCAGATGTATTCAGTCTCTGTAACCTTTCATATTCCTTTCTACCATTACTCATTCTGTTTCACTCTTATACTTGTCAAAACTCTATTGATTCTCTTCACTCATCTTCTTGTGTACATTTGTGTGCCATTTGGAACGTGGCAACTCGAACTGCTGCACTTCGGTGCCAAGTTCTATGTTGAATCCAGTCAGCCAGCCAACTCACCACCCCATGGGGTATTCAAAACGAGTATGTGATTGCAAATTCAAATTCCCGATTTGTAAATTAAACTGTTCAAGGTGAGAATTCGGTCGATGCCTCGTTCGACTTTATGTACAAATGGATTTTTCGAGATTCGATCAAGGTTGTAAACCAAAATACTTAGTCGTCCGGTGTACTTATTTCAATCATACATACGTTTCTTGTAACATGGAAAGCTGAGCAACAGTTTCGGATGCAGCTTCACATATTGGTTTTGTTACATTTGGGTAGTAAATACTAGGTGTGACTATGTAGTTTATAAACATTCATTCGGCTGATGAGTTTAAGTAATTAAAGGGTGAAAATAATGATTTAATACAGAGCACGAATGTAAAATTATATTTTACCATAGTGCCCAAATTCTGCTGTTATATTAATTAATACGGAGAGATTTACAGAACTTATTGATTTGATGTTAATCAACAATAAATAATTAACAGCGAATATAGTTTCTGTTCACTGATTATTGGTAAAGCGTAAATGTGCATTCTGATTGAATTATCCTGTGTTTTTACTTCTAATTTTTTTTAAAGAAAATCGATGCTATTGTTACTCATGCTTTCTTACAAATATGTGAACAGGTATTCTTCGGTGATTTGGAATCTGTAATATCATATGAAGGCTGTGAACATAGGTCATCTACAGTTGATCCTTTCTTAGACTTATCTTTGGATGTGATTCAACGTGGTTCTACATCACTAGAAGCCTGTCTCACATCCTATTTCAGACCTGAGTCGATCGATGGTTTAATTTGGTGTTCGCAGTGCAATGTTGGTCGACCAGCTGTTAAACAGTTCAGTCTACTGCATTTACCAAATGTGTTATGCTTTTATTTAAAGGTATGCTATGAGGGGTTGCAAAGTTCAGATTAATGTATACTATAACATTATTAATATTACTAAAATATAAAATTTGTTACAGAACAGTGAATTTGCAATCTGAAAGGCGCTTATTTGAACTCTTTCTTCAAGGGGTTCTATTAGTTAGTTAACATACGACGACTACATCGTGCATACATTACAGTATTATAGAGGATTCGTGGTAACCTAAATGCATTATAGTTTCTGAAATTAACTGACCTTAGTTCGAATCTGAGATAATGTTTTGCTGAATATATGAGGCGCACCCTGGTGATGACAACCAGCAAAGACAATGGCTGTGTATGGGGGGTTTTTAGTCTGTTACTTCTAACTCCTAATATACAGCTTTCTGATGAGAATTAGCTAGTGGAACACATTTATATACTGTAATGAACTATGCTAATAGTACCAGTTTCCACTCAGTGATTAGTCCGTACGGAAATTTACTGTCTCACTCAATATCAACCGTTTTACATATTTCATCTTGCATCTTGTTTGTGGCTTCGATGATGTCACATACATTTATTCAATGTAGACACTATACATGCTACATAATATTCTCATAACTACGTCTTTAGTGTTGTAGTATACTGTGCTACTAAATTATGCAACTGTAACCTTACTCTGTGTACTACGAGAAAACCTCATAAGTTCACTGCTTTTGCTAAGTGGATAGCTGAAGTACTGTGTATTCTACAATGTAATTAGTTTATTAATTAGGTACTTTCAATGATCTTGCATAATCAGCTTTTATTCTTCATTATTGTGTTCATTCCAAGCGATGTCATCATGATACGAAAATAAATACTTCCATAACGTTTCCTGTTGAACTAGACATGGCTCCTTATTTACACCAGATTGAAAAAGATCAATCGCCGTGGTATAATAAGTAAGTTCGATTTAGACTTGTTTTGTCTCTAACGAAACAACAGTTAATTATTTTGGTTGTTTCAACGGTTTTGTTCCTCTCCGTTGTAAGGTTTCAGGTGGCGACGTCTTGAGCTAGTGGATTTCAGTTTACGCCTGAATGCCGTTTATATGTTTGATTCATGATTTTCTTCGTCATTAGTCGATTGTTGAACTTTCAATTTCTGTAGCTGTAACTGTCCAATTGATTTTTGTCTGCCTCCTTGTGTTTCATGTAGTTGCTGCATTGTTGAGTTAACCGCTACCGTTTGTATGCAAGGCGAATCATAATAAATTCAACAAAAATTGACTTGTGTTTGCATATAATAACAGTCTACTCAAAATGAAGGAGTAGGAATGTAATCGGAGAGGATAAGAGATTTGGAAACGGACCTTTATTAAAGAAAAACATTAAATTCCAGCTAGATCAGAGGACAATAAATTGTTCTGATTGATTGGGGAGTTGTGTAAGTTCAAACAAGCTGTCTAATTAGGCTATTTCTTGTTCACAACATAAACTACATCCACATTTGAGGAATAAACACTTCTACCTCTGCAGCCATTGACTTCAAATGTTGATGCCAATTTTGGCTGCTTCCTACTAATCTACATCGCGCCGCAGAGGAAACAATGAAATTTCCGTTTGATAATCAAAGATAAAAATGCCAGCGTCAATCAAGAAGAGTGCGACCAATTAAATATTAATATTCTCTTTCTGTCTAGAATAAATTTCATATGAAACACCTAAAAATAAACACCACATTCCATGTTAGCCTAACAACCATCTGCTAAGAAGTTCTCGTTCGGTGCTTTGTATTAATAAAAGTGACATGGCTATAAGAGTTTCATAATTAAACCGTCCTTTTAAGGGAATTCGTGCGTTGGTAGTTCATTGGTAGAACAAAAGCCAACGAGGCAAATGGTCCTGGTTGGATTCCTGGCCGACGCACTCCTTTACCTCGTTTAGCCGGTAGTAATCCCAGTAAAGAGGGAAGGTTGGGCTTAATTAAGGTTAGCAACCCCATCCCATAAAAGCGACCACTACTACTGAAACTTCGAAGCTCTAACTTGAAGCCCAGTGTTCCACTGGGAATGCAGAGGAATAAAATAAAAGTAGCGTATATATATATACATATAAAGGATTTATATATATGACTAAATCGTTGCATTTGATTCTATTACCGGGACACTTTTGTTAAGTAGGCTGCCTCCTGCCCACGCTGAACTCTATGTCACAAGGTAGTTATCTTCTTATGTTTTGAGCAGGAAATAATAGACTGACTGTAACACGAAGCACTGCACTTCTTTGCCTACTGAAGCTGGTATACCTCAAGGTGCTGTATTTTCTCCGTCTCTATTTTCCTTCTTTTTGCATGACTTAGAGTATTTTTCCACAGCCATTTTCACTAATTATGATGATGATCTAACACTTTCTGTCCCGGTTGACTCGTCGGTGGGAAACTATTCATATCAGGACATTTCGTTCTAGGTTAACCAATCGTTTTAAACTGAACCCCTTCAAATTTCACACGTGATTAAGACTTACGTGAATTGCTTCAGTTTTATAATTCTTGTAATATCGACGGTACCGTTGTAGGGAATTAAATAGAATATTACCTATCTAGGCATCAGTTTCTCTTCTAATCTTTTTTGGCCTTTTTGTATCTTGTTGATTTCTAAAATGTCTTTTGTTTGACTTACTAAATAAGGAAACTGAGACTTCCTGTCATAATTCAACCTCTTTCCTTGTAATTTATCAGTTCATGTATTCTATCGATTATTTTTTCTATTGTCCCCTCTTATTCTCCCTCGGGCTTCACAAAAAGAGGACTGTATCGTATTACGTAGGACTTTAAAGGCTGTAAGCAGGATTAGTGATGTGCCATTGACTCAACTTACTGACATTATTGTTAATAAACATTTTAATTCTTGTAAGCACTTTGTTGGGATCATTTTTTAGGATACTAAAAATCCTCTTTATTGGCAACTTTCTCCTTATATTTCTTCAGGCAAAACCAGAAGAAATTTCATAAAAGTTAAGCCTCGTGTGGTTAATTAAAAAGATTCAACTATACCATATTTAGCAGGAGTGTTGTGTGAGGAGACAAATGTCAGATAAAAGTTTATTAACCTACTCCATAATCTGTAAATAAACAGAAGATTATTACCAGCATTATTATTACATACATTATACTGAGATAAACTGTTGTAATATGCGCATTGCTGAAAATTACGTTCTGTATAAAAGTTATTGTTTGATATGAAATGATTGTTATTATTATTATTTTATTACAGTCGGACACAGTGTACTGTTGTGGTGGTACATTTAATTCTTAATAAACGATTGACTATCTCTACTGGGTTATTTGGAGAAAACTGAATTAAATTGTTTTGTGTGTGTAACGCAATTTCTTCGGTTGTAGGTCTAATTTTTATTCTTATACTGGGGTATATAAAGTGGTTCAACACACCCATCCACTTTATCCTACAGTCACACATCCGTAGTATTCAGTTTGTTGATAAGGGTGTTTTTCTAAATTTAGCCCGACTAGAAAATTTTAATTTTCGCCAAAGCATGCCAAGTATACCTGTCACAAATGTTAAAAGTTTCTTTTGCCTGCTTGAGGGGTATATAATTTCAACTCATTGATTCAAAGAGATCTAATTTCCTTCCACCTGGGGAACAAAATGTCTTGAGCTCAAAATCTGCTTCACTTGTCTAAGTTTATGCAATAACGTGCACTGATATTCACTTTCATACTAACTATTCGTCATTTGATAAGTTATCTGTTGTTTTGTTGTTGATTATTCTATTTATTTTTTATTTTTTCAAATATATAGATATTCCCTTTATGCTGTATTGAATCACAGTGGTCAGACTAATTCAGGCCACTATACAGCGTATATTCGTATTGGTCCAGGTGCTTGGTGTCTATGTGATGATCAAAAAGTTGTTCCAGTTAATCTGAATGATGTCTTGCATACAGATGCTTATGTGCTATTATATCATAAGAATTTATTAGCTGTATGCATTTAGGTTGATTTTCATTTGTTTTTGTATCTTTGTATATCTTCCTCCACGTTATATTTGTCTATGAATTTATGTATGTCACCAGTCTATGTAATGCTAGTTTTCGACGCTTCTTCATGTATTATTCATGATTTGCTTTTTGTTTATGCATTTTGAATTATTTTTTTCTTTCCTTTATAATGACAATGCATGATGCCTAGTACTTATACACACGTATATACACTTCTTTTGACATTACCAGAAATAACGAAAGTTATAACAACCGTTTGTCTTTCATAGTGACTATTATGATTTCTAGGCTATTCTCATGTATAAATGTGTACTACAACACAAATGTTTTTTTTATTTATTTATGTGTACACAAACAACTATTTTCTTTTTGTGTTTGATTTCCTTATTCTGTATTATTTACAATTTGGTCGATCTCTGACAGACACAGTGTCTCGCTCTGTGTTGTTTATTTTGCTTATCTCATTATATTGTCACTTTTTCGGGATACCGCCAATTTTAATTTCTTTACTTAAATTGTTCTATTTGTATATTAGGAACACTCAAATAATGTGAACTATTTGTATGTGTGTGTGCATGTCTATTTTGGTCTAATTTTTGTTATTATCTTCTTGTAATAATCATTTTTTAATGATGATGATACTAATGAGGACAATACTAGTGAGTGGTATGGTCCGTTTGTTTATTTATTCTGTGATAACAAATTGAAGATATAACAGTGGCTTACTTTGCCAATGGTCAGTTGTGTGTGGTGTAGCTGGGATAAAACCCTCTCTCCACATACGCGCATTGCTTTGCATCCAAATATGTGTAGAAGTAGCGAATATATATATATATATTCTGTCTGTTTACGTAAGATTGTGATGTTAGTAGACCCCGTACTTGACTTTATCTGTGTTCATATTTAGTAGACAATTGCACATGAAAACAGGGATTGATTAGCTTTATGATTGAATAGCAGATCATGTAAAGCTATTGGAAAATTGACTCTGTGAAAGCCTTACGGTCTCAAGCGATGTCTGCAGCTTTTAGACCAATCTCCTGTAGTTACTTCGTCCTATAGCTTATATACTTAATGGAGCATGTGCTTTACTTAATTGTTGTTATGTTCATATGTAGTTGAGTGTGTGATTTGACTCCGAAACTCTCTTCAGATTTTAAAGTTGACGTCAACTTTCACTCTCATCTTGTTGCTCGGAACTTCACGCAAAGTCATTTGCGATTAAAAATATTTGGATATCTCAATCACTGAAAAAGCAACTGGACTGATTGTCCCATTATGTTGGAGAGTTGATTTGACTACTATAAAACTTTGGGTTTTTGTCATAGTATCTGTTGGTGGATGTTTGTAAGTGAGAAAACAAGTGAAGCAGCAATTAGGGTTTTTCCCCAGAAGGACTACCAATCCAACTCTGCTGTCTCCTCATCCTTTAAAGTGGCATTGGGACAAGTCAATCCCAGAAATCATATCCATTGATTCACCATACTGAGGAAAAATTCCTAAATTCTATCATGTCTGAACAGATTAACGAAAATGGTTTCAAGCAGATATACCCCGAGTTTCGCCATCATACCGAACTAATTTGTTTACTTTAGGTGCGAAAGAATGTGACGTCAAGAGTCAACTGCTTACATACTTGAGTCTGTGTGAAAATTTTTTCTGACTATCAGCCATTTAGCCCTTACTTTATTGATTTTTCAGGATACCTCATGTTTTAAAGTCGCTCATTAAAATGCGTTTAATGTGTCGACAGTTCTTGCAGAATGTGGATGTATCGTGTGATTCTGAGTGTGATCATTCAATTGATTCAAGAACTTATCTAAAAGAAATAATTCTGATTTCTGTTGCCTCAATTGTGTACAGATTATTGCATATTAGTAGCCTGCAGTAACCTCAGACATGTGCAGAGGTATTATTTATTTTACTGGTGTTGTAAATGTCACTATAATGTGGTAATGTTTGGTGTTATGGTTGTCAGTTGATTCTATTCTCAACCTTTGATGTTCCCATCAAGTCTCTAAATTTCTATTTAGATGGATAGGCGTAACGAGATTTAGTGAAATTCCAATTATGCTGGTAAACATCTCAGGACTGCACTCGAATACCATTACTTTTCTTGTTTATTTTGAACCGTTTTTCTCGACATAAAATATGAATTAAAAAAGACGTAGTGAAATCTGTTTGTCCCATATTTTCTGGAGACAAATGAGATGCTAATCATGTGATAACATTATTGTGGTCATTTCTTAACAAGTACTGAGGTGTTCTCCTACAATCATTATTCACAAGGTCAGTAGTGTAACAGTGGTTTCACTAACAGTTTTCCAAATCCTGCGCAATGTAACATAATCTCAGAAGTGGGGGGATGAATAAGAAGGAATAATGGCTTAGAAAAGGTTGACGAAACAAGAAGCCACTTTATATACGACTACAATTCAAGGGTGATATACCAAGTGAGATAATTACGAGGAAATTAAGAAAATCAGTTCAAAGAACTGGCGAATTACACGTATTATTCTCTACACGACCGATGGTGCTAACACGACTGAAAGATGAAGTACCTAGACTAGCCACTTCAAATTGTATCTACCAATTCAACTGCACCCGTGGAGCGAGTTATATTGGCTGTTGCTCTAGGAACTTGATTTTTCGTGCTCGAGAACATCTCCCGCTTTGTCTAAGTAAAGGTGTAGTTAAAACCATTAACACATCGATATTGAACCATCTGGTGCGAACTGGCCACAAAGCCAGCGTGGAACAATCCTTCTCTATAATCTACCAGGTGCCTAATAAATTGCCAAAATCATCGAAGCACCGCATGTTCCAAACTGCAGAGGCTATTGCAATTCGCCTCAAACAACCAGTGCACTGTGTTCAAAAGAAGCAAGTCCAGCCACTACTACTGCTTTGGTCGGCCTTCAGCAGAGACTATAAATTAAGGAATTTGTAGTATTATCTTTCCTAATTTTTGTGACATTCAGCTTATTTTTATTTTATGCTATTGAGCTGTAATCTATCAATATTATTGAGTCGATGTTATTTAAACAGCAACATTAATGTTGTTCATAACACTGATTGAAGAGCCTCATGATGAAGTTATCGAAAAGAGTACTCTGTTCAGTATCCATTCTTTTGAGAAATTTAAAGACAAAAACTAAGTAGTAACGTAGTTCTATGTGACTTGGGTAAGATAAGGAGCGAAGTATATTTTCCAAGATAATTGGAATATGCAAAGACTCGGGAAGAATATAAGAACTAAGATTGGTCGGGCCACATAAATTCTTGTTACTTCTCATCATATCTCACGGTTAAATTCTGCTTTTGAATGGTAATCGGTAATGTTAATTTAAATAATGTGAATCGATAGCAAAATATGTCGAACTGTAAATCAAAAAGCGATGGTAAGTTGTGGTATTTCCTTTTCTGTCCTTATGTAATCTCAACGTAGTCAAAAATGATTTGATTTTATGACTCAGGTTGTGTCGAAAGCTAAAGTCTCTTCCCTTCGCTTCCAAGTTGGGGGGGGGGGAGAGGGGAACCGGACAGTCATTTCAGAAATAAATTCGTCGCAAACAAGAGTGAAGTAAGCAAGTCGCTTGTATAATTGACTGAATTTCGTTTGATGAGAGCAATCACCTAAAAATTCTAAAAGGAAGCACTGTGCATTAAAGTAGATCAGCTTAACTTAATAGTAGGTATGAATGTCCCTCCCTCTGTGAAATATATTGCCCAAGAAGATTAGGAGCAAAGTTCGCATAAAATCTGGGTCTCAATTTTTCGCGATAAAACTGATCAAGAAACAGAATTTAGAATAGAAGTATAATCTAAGCAACCTGTTTTAATATACATCTGTTAATTTTGTGTTCTCTGTTGCATAAGCGATGTAGAGATTGGTTAGTAAGCGACTTCAGGAACACGTATAAAGGAATTCATCACTATTCAATCGTCAATATTTGATTTTCGCCCCTTAAGTTTTGCAGGCTGGGTTGTTTGAATTTGCTTGGTCTACAAGAAACTTCAATCTTGATGTATATAAATGTGTTTACGGATATGGATCAATCGCCATTCACAGTGCTGATTAGAATCTGTTCATATAGATTCTCTCATTGAATTCTTTAATAATAAGTGTTATTTCCCTGGGATCCATTCTTAGTTATCTATCGCTTGTCGTATTTATAAATTGCCGTTTCTTATCTTTCAGTCAAGGTTGGATATATATATATTCTCTTACAGCTTGTCAGCAATGTACACTCAGCCTATTTACGATCCACTTAAGAGCTGTTTGAATTCTTAGAAAATCCGTTGTCATTCAGTCACTGAGATAAGCGTAATTCATTTAGGACTACTTCTAACTAGCATTTCGATGCAGTTTTCATTCAACGCTGTCGGTGAGAAACTGCCATTGCATTTAGACTGCGTATCTTATTCGTATAAGCGTGTACACTTGTGACGTCTCAAACTGTGATGAACCATTTTAACGGTTGTCTTAGATCCCCAGTGACTTTCTAACTTTTCCCAAAAACAATATTTGAAACTATGAGGCATTTAATATATGTGTGGAACTTGGGCACTGTGCTAGTAAGTAATTTCATATTAGTTTGTTTGTTAGATGTATCACACAGTGAAACAGTATAATTTACTGGATGACAACGTTTCGAACACAATTAATTTTTCATAATCATACTAATTCTAATCACACAACTTCGAAACTTGAGTTTTATAGTTTTCTTTATTCTTCCCTATTCGTCGTCGTAGGGGTAGTAGAATTTTCCAGATGTCCGGGTGGACAGGTGTTGAATCATTCCTAATAGACGTATTTGCAGTTGATTCAATGAAAAACTTCTGTTATCCACCTCTCCCTCCAACCGGTTATATTAGATTTAAAAACTTATCTTTTCCCATTCTATTGTATGATTGTGTGTAATTGCATGTAGTTTATATTATATGGTTGGAGGCAATCGGCAGGAAGCCTTGGACCTAGGTTTCGTGCTAGTTGGCACTCATCAGCAAGGCGTATCTGCAGCCTTGAAGGAACTGATGTCCCTCCTGAGATTCGAACCTGCGTCACCCAGTGCTGCAGTCAGAGACGTTACCACTGAGCTATTCAGGCTCGCGACTGACCTCCTGTAGGACTGTATTGGATATTTTTGATTGCACACTAGTCAGTAACTAGTGTAATGCGTCTAGTCCTATCTTCGGTGCAGACTGAATTTTATCAGTCATGTTTGCAATGTGGCCACCATGCTAGGTGGCTTGCCATTACGGTGCACTGTGAATTGTTGGTATTATATGGTTGGAGGCAATCGGCAGGAAGCCTTGGACCTAGGTTTCGTGCTAGTTGGCACTCATCAGCAAGGCGTATCTGCAACCTTGAAGGAACTGCACCGAAGATAGGACTAGACGCATTACACTAGTTACTGACTAGTGTGCAATCAAAAATATCCAATACAGTCCTACAGGAGGTCAGTCGCGAGCCTGAATAGCTCAGTGGTAACGTCTCTGACTGCAGCACTGGGTGACGCAGGTTCGAATCTCAGAAGGGACATCAGTTCCTTCAAGGCTGCAGATACGCCTTGCTGATGAGTGCCAACTAGCACGAAACCTAGGTCCAAGGCTTCCTGCCAATTGCCTCCAACCATATAATACCAACAATTCACAGTGCACCGTAATGGCGAGCCACCTAGCATGGTGGCCACATTGCAAACATGACTGATAAAATTCAGTCTGCACCGAAGATAGGACTAGACGCATTACACTAGTTACTGACTAGTGTGCAATCAAAAAACATGTAGTGTTATAGCTGAACTATTCTCTAGATTTC